TAAAAAACAATAATTTTTCCATTCTATCATAAACGCAACAAGAATCGTTAAAATCATTCAATTTTTTAATTCCGACATACATTTCATTATGCAACAAAGTAATAATATCATCATTATTGAAAATAATCCTGATGTAACTAAAGCATACTCTAGAGTTCAACGTGCGAAATGCGCCTGCGGCCCATGCCGTAAGTCCAAGAAGAGATGCTTTGGAGGTATACCTGGTAAAAAACAATGCACAAGATGCGAAAAATCTAGAGACGCGAAGAAATGCGTTTATGCAACTGGTAAAGACTCATAAGAAAATTTTTCGTGCTTTAGTTTTAAACTTTTAAATAGATTTTCTAAACTTTTTCTTATTTAAAGTAACCAAAAATAAAATTGGTAAGATTCTTTTTATTGTAAAATTTAGTTTTTTTTTGTATTTTACAATTTCCTGCTTTTTAATATAAAACACGGAAATTATTAGATAGCCAGTCACGGGACCATCATCTGACTATCACCGATCGTAATCATCGTAATCGTCGTAATCGTTACGGTAATAATAATGGAAATTCGGTAACAACCAGTCAGCAATCAGACAATAATGCAGGAAACAATGACCCCGACCAATATACCCATTTCTTACAGGCATTTTATGCTTACAGCATGTATCTTAATTAAAAAATAAAAGAAAAAAAGAACTATTTTCATTGATAAAAAGGTTTCTACAAATCGTCTAAAGCGTATAAAAAAAATTGCTTGTTGTTACATATACAGTGTATATTTTTTTTTTGTACACTAAATTAGGTGGATTCAATTTTTAAAGTTGAATGGTTTTTCAGGATGGTAGTATTCTACGTTTTTATATATAGTTCGTGTAATTATATTTTATTTATATATTATACACGATTCTTTTTTTTCTATATATGTATAATGATTGAAATATATTCAATAAAACTCTTTTCAATTTCTTTTGTTAAATGCTGTTTTAAAAATTAAAAATGTACACACACACACACAAAAAAAAAAAAAGTAATTTAGTAATTCAAAGGAACAAAGCAATCTACATGTCACACCAGTAATCCAATTACCCGGAATATTAATTCCGAAATTTCTATGGATTACTGGATTAAGCATTATTTTATGATAATCTTCGCCAATTAAGGCAGCCTAAAAAACACGAATATTATAAAACATTTATCTTTAAATACTTTAAAAGTTGATTGTTAATTAAAACCCTATAAAAAAGGCATTCCAGAATACATCCGTCAAACTTCCATTATTATGACTATAGCTCCATAAAATTTCCAGGTATTTATAAAAAATTGAAACTAGAAAATATCATATCCGGGTTTTTTCCAATATTACTATTAGTCATTTATAGTAAAAATTTTTTTACACTTGAATCTAAAAATATACTGGAAAATTACAGTAATTTAATTTTTTTTTTTTTTTGTAGTGAAGTAAAAATTGGGTTGAATTAACGAAATTTGACTGATTTTCTTTATCAATTATATACGTTTCATTATTCGGCATTTTTAAAAATCCAACATTTCTATCAATCGTGCTAACATTAATTACTTCAAATGAGCCCAAATCACGAAACTTTAATGGACCAAATTTCGAAAACTGAGGGTTACAATTCCACTGCACATATGCTAACATTGATTATTTATCATCATATTGATGAGAAAATAAGTAGCACACCTCACTAAAAAACTTGCATTTCTAAAATAACAGGTGCATTTCTATAGTGCGCATTACGATCAACCAAAAGTTTGGCCTGAAAAGGTTAATAACTTATTAATAATTCATAAATTAAAGTACTGTATAAAAATATTAAAATTAATAATATATACATACGGGCAATACAGAAATTCCGCATCACCCTTACGATTTGATAGTCTTGAATTTATTATTATACCTTGTCTTGTTTGAAGTTTTCCATACTTCTGAACAGTATTTGTAATTAACTTAAAAACAGATAAATGTAAAAAAAGGATATAAATCTTTTTTACACTAGCTAAAGTAAAAAAAGCTTACATTTAACCGATTTATAGATTTATTTAATGCTGTCACATAATAAGCCTTAAGATGTTGTATTCCAGTCTTGTTCATGAAATAGTTAAGAGCAACTGAATACAGCTTTTCCTCAACATCTTCAATAATAAATGCACAGTTTTCAGAATGATATGATGATTTCTCTGAACTTGTTTCAAAAAGCTTTTTATTTATATTAGTTTTGTATTAAAAAAGCAAAAACTGATTCCACATTGTAATTTGATTTTGAAGATTATTATATGGATACTGTTAAAAACAAACTAGTGGCAGTAAAATTCTGTATAGTCTTTCTATTGAATACTGCCAAGTCACCTATGCAAGTCCAGTATTGCAAATTGAGATGGCAATATGTGGTAGGTAATAATAAGAAATAAGTGCAGCTGGAAGACATAAAGGATTATTCTGAAAATACTCTAAAAAATAATCAAATTTATTAAAATTTTTAAAGCTACATACTTAATAGATTATGTAAACATACTTTTTATAATGCATAACAAATTCATAAAATAGTTAGTTAATTTTTAATAACTCTGCTATATTGATTTTATGTTTAAGACGAAGCTTTACTACATGCACAAATTTCACCAAACCATTTAAATATCTAATAATATAAAAAGTATTAATAGTTTTCTTAAATTAATAATATTCTTATCTGGCAGCTTACTATGATAGTTTTTGCCAAATAACTCAAGTTATTTGGCAGTGATTATGTTGTCTGCCAAACAACTTTGTTATTTGGCAGCTTACATAATCACTACCAAAAACTCAAATTATTTGGCAAGCACAAACACTATAAATAGGGATGGATAAGTCTGGTCTGGTCTGTCTAGTTCATGGTAAACTGGTCCAATAGTTTTTTAGTCCAGTCTCAGTTCTAAAACTAGTTTTTTGATATATAAAATCTAAAAAATTGCACGTGATAATAAACCAATAGGATCAATTGATTTATATAATGATCAAACCTCCATAGGCTGATATTTGTATGATTGGCTAATATAAATCAATTGTCTGGGTAACTTATTTATACAGTTTAAAGTACTTTTTAAGAATATAATATTTCACTAATAAAACATAATTATAAAGACTATTTCTAGCTTTACAAGAATACTTTTAATATTTTCAAGAACTTCACTTAGAAGCAAGTATTTCATTATTTATTATTATTACTATCTATATTAGCTATATACAAGTATTAAATGGGTGTGGCAACTTAGTGAAGTGGTGGAGTTGTCGCACCCCCAGACAGCAGGTCTAGAGTTCGAATCCCACAGACGATGTTTTCAAAAATTAGCCCTGTGATATGGTTAACGGCTATTTGATGATCGGTAGGATCTAGAAATCTGTAATCTCGGTCACACCATCTTGAATGGGAGCCTTGGCATAATA